ATTTCCTGCAAAAACAGGCAGCTAGGTAAGGACTACGTCATACCGGGACAGAATATAGCATCCTATGTCAAAGGAGGACAGTTTGACGACAGGGAATAAAGTGTTGTTTTTGCCGGGTTTGACTCCTGGCACCCTGGAGATGAATCAGCTAATGTTAGCTGTACGAGCTAACTAGTTAACAGCATCTAACATTGACATTAGCGACAATTAGCTACTTTAAGCAACAAGTCCATCAGGAAACTCTGTAAATCACCTCTCCAAAAGTGAAGCCTGCATACTGCAGTCGCCCCCTGGTGGCTCACCGGGCGTATAGACTAACGGCAGCTACATTAGCAGCTAGAGTTGAGGCAGAGTGAAAACAATAAAAACAAAAACAATATTTTCTCCATAAAATATGATCCAGTTCCCACAAATCACTGATAAAGTTGTGTTTTTGTGCAGTAATCAGTGAAACAAACCTTGTTTTACAGGAAGAAAACAGGATTTTAATATGAAAATACAAACTAATTGAGTTAAAAAGGCATTTTTTAAATTTCATTTGGACTTATTTTCTCTACAAATCTACCTTTAGTGACGTTAATCAGCCGTTTTTAATGTAATTGTGTGTGTGGATGAACTTGGAAAGACTCCCTCCCTGCCCCCCGTCTGTTGTCCATCACAGGCCAGTCATTTGGGGTCTTGTTGTCCGGTCACAGGCCTGATCCTGTCAACACATCCAAATATCCTGGAGTGTTGGTGTTGTGGGGTTTTTTTCTGAATGAATTAGCTCTGTATCATCCAGACACAGACAGCAGACAGCCACAAATGTATGCACACACACAGACAGGCAGCAGTTCTGGTTGTCAGGGTCCATAGATCATGGGTTATGTGTGTATGTGCTTTAGTCCGTGCAGCATAAAGTCACAACAGGAACAGATAAGACTGGTCCCAGGTTGGCTTTGGGAGCCAAATCCCCAGCAACCCCCCAGTGCTAATCGGATTAGCTGAAAAGTTAGCAGCACGGCCCCAAAGAGACACAACATTTTTTACACTGACTTCTGTGACATATTTGTGCTCCATAATCTGCTTCTTGTCTCTAAAAGCTGTCTCATCTGAGCCACAGTAAACAGCAACTTCAGTACGCGATGAACTGTTTGTAACCTTCAGTTTTGGGGATGGAGAAGGCTGAGTGGTGTGTGTGTGAATGTGTGTGTGTGTGAGTAAGTGGGGGGGGGTCTAGTCCACCCAGGTGGGGGAACAATGGCGCGCCCGTTGTCTTGGGAGAAATGGTTGGCTGCTCGTGGGCCCGGGCGGAGGAGGGAGGGACTGAAAGAAAAAAAATGAGTTGTGAAAATGATTGGTGCTGAGTTGTGGAGGGGACGGTGTGTGTGTGTGTGTGTGTGTGGTGGTGGGGGGGGCAGACGGATGAATGGGGGCAGCAGGGTGGCAACTGGACTCTTAAAGCTCTTTTCATGCTTGGTCTGTTTCAACCAACGCTGAAAACACATACAGGACTCTGCAGACGAGGCGTAATTGTTGGGATGTCCAACAGAAGCTGCAGTAATATCAGGAAACACAACACAGCTCTTCATGGAGACAATAAATCTTATTTTGTTGTTTGTTGTTGCTGCTATGTTTTCTTTTATTTCCTATAGTGTTCTGTTATCTGTTGTAGGAATGTAAAAATATATCACGAGACGGTTGAATCGCAGTGATGTGATGATTCATGATAAATTAATCGTGGTATCAAGCCGCAAAGAACTAAGTTTGATAATTTGATGAAGAAAATTTATTTTGTAGATTTCTGTCTGAGAAATAAAAGAATATTTTGTCTTTTTCAGTCTTAATTTGTCTTCAGAATCGTATCCTGAGCTGTTATTGTGAATTCTGTTGAATTGTGAGTTGAGTTTATCGTTACATCCCTATTTTGTAGAGTTCAGTGGTTCCCACACTGGGGGTCGGCACCCCCACTAGGGGTCGGCAAAGCTTCATGAGGAGTTGTTAGACCTTCATGATTTTAAGGCGTGCTAGAAAACGTAAAAATTATACACAGTAGACCTATATCTCAGCATTTTGTTCACTTCTGTAAAGAAAAGTAAATTGTCTAATAGAACAATGGTCAAAGTGTCTGGGAGAGGAAAACACTGAATTTGTTAATAAAGAAGCCTATTAAGTCTGTATGATTGTTGAAAATGATTTTAAAAAATACATAATACAGACAGAAAATTACATAAAAAGTTTCCTAAACAGGAAATAATCTGCTCAGAATTCATCAAAATCACTCGTTTTACACAAACTTCCTGCAGTTACTGAATTCACTGTTTAGGATCACTGTACAGTTTTGAATATAAAATGAAATATACATAAAATATGTCACTGAGTCAGTTTACTGAAGGATAGAAAAGGCCCTAACCCTAACCCTTAAGATAAAAGGATCAAAATAGATACAAAAGAACCAGAAATACCATAAAACATCAAGAAATACTTAAGTATTTACATTTTATGATGGTTTATGTTTGCATTTATACTTTATACTGTATACTTTATGTATTATACTATATGATGTCTCAATTATGAAGGATAGGATGATCCTATAATGTGTTTGTTAAATACAATCTGAGACGTCTCTCTTGGTTAATAACATTAGAACCTAAGAACGAAGACATAATAATACGTGATAGAAAACAAAGAAGAAATGATAATTTTTGCTTCAACAGTGACCCTGACTCAGAGGTCATTGACTTTTTTTAAGAAGAACTCCTCATCCTCAGTGATGAGGAGGCAACAGTCAATGAGAGGATGGGGCGGGGAAGGATCCTTCACCGTCTTGCGTAACAACTCCAAAACCAGATTAAACAGAGAAAATAGACTTTTTGTGCCATCTTGTTTTTCTTTTGTCACTGTCTGAGCGGGCCCCTCTGCAGCCAAGCCAAGTCCAACATGGCTGAAAAAGCACTTGGCTCTCTGAATCAACAGTCCCAGTGTCAAACTGGCTAGCCTTCCCATGCCTGCATTCCCCCGATGATGCCTAGGGAACTGATTCTCTGGCCAAGATGTGGTTTTGTGGTTACAGTCAGCCAGGCAGAAGGGAGATGAAAATGATGCCATGTGGACAAGAAGCCTTTTCTTCTTTGTTCTGCTAACATGGCAGACGGGCTCCAGGTTGGCCCGGCATCTGCCAAACACAATGCGGTATCGAACCGAATTAAGGGATTGAGGGGTTAAAACTTAGAATTAGAAGTAGGTAAGGAAGAACACGCCGACAGGGAGTTTACTGTTTTATGGCTTCTGAATGGTTCATGAATAATACGGGACTACAATACCGCCGTGGTGTTGATTTATGTGCATGTCTTGTGTGTTTTTCAGCGTGGGCCAAGGTGGAGCTGACAATGCATGAGAGCATTGAGGTGTACCTGGGTGACTCGGCTCAGATCCCCTGCCAGTACAGCTTCACTGACGCCGACAACGAGCCCAGCATTGTCATAATCCAGTGGTTTGTGGTGAGTACTGCCGGACCCGCGGCAAAAGACTCGACACTGCCTGTCTGGAGCTATCCAACCGCACACGTACACAGAGGGCTACCCCCCTTTAACATGAACCATTTGCATCATGGGAGGCCTGAGCTCAGTTTCTGCTTGTAGCGTCAGAATAACTTACTCATACTTAACTGATCCCCCGGGGGGGACATAGAATTATAATAATGGTAAAAATATGCTCTATATGCCAGTATACAACGACAATATATGTAGAAAATATAAGAATTAATGTACATTATAATAGAATATATGACAATATATAAAGGATAGAAATAAGGGAATAGTTATATTACAGTATATGATATACAGTAATGAATAAATAGTAATAATGAGTACTGATAATGTTAATGTTGGGAGCTGAATTCTTAATAAATTGCCGTATTAGTGACAGAATAAATCAGTTTATTTCCTGCATTATAGTTTTTCAGGGTTCAAGGACAATAGGAAATAGTAGAATAAATCAATAAATAATAACCAATATGTTACTTATTAGTAGAATTATGTATTATTATTATTGTTTAAACAGCATGTTACAAAGTAATTTTATGTAAGAAAACGACAATAAACACTGAAATATGTCGGCTAATAACTTAGATTGTCTGGCGTCCAAGAGTAAGATCATTTTTTGTTGATATGGGACCAGACTCCATTCATAAAAACAGAAATTTTACCTCACAGAACAACATATATTATGAATAACCAGGCTGCATGAAAGACAGAACAAAGACTCGAGATCGTTTGTGTCGTGGTTTAGTCCTCAGTTTCAGGACAGTTAAGATATAAACCCACGAGGTCTCCACCGATTGAACCTGAACATACTGTTAAACCCAAACTGTCTGAGTCGAGGGAGAGGTGAAGTGTGTCCTGACCGCGTGTCCTCCTGCAGAGAGCTTCGGGGAACAACTCAAGGATGCGGATCTTCTACGGAGACGACAGCCAGCAGATGGTGGACAACAACACCAACTACAGCGGCCGCATCGAGGTGACTTCGGACCAGCAGGGAACCCGGCTCACCATCCAAGACGTCAAGCTCTCAGACGAGAGGGAATTCTTCTGCCAGGTCAACGGCATGGCTGCCGGGAACGCCGAGGGGAAGACCCACCTCAGAGTGTTCGGTAAGGGAGCCCAGAAAACACCTTCCAGTGGCAGAAAAAACAGCTTTTATAGGGAAGATTACAAGCCTTTAAGATTTATCTTTGTTTCACCAAAGTGATTATTTTCCTCATTCAGCTCCTCCAGAGGCTCCAGTCATCGAGGGAGTCTTTACTGGAATATCTGTGACCAATGAGGTGCCGACTAAGGTGGGTCGACTTAATCTCACATACTGAGAGATCAACCAAGACAGAATGACCATCAGAGAGTCTCTCTGCAGTTTTTGTCCCAATCGACTGAGATAAAACAGATTTGTTGATGTGACTCTCCATCCAGGTTGCATCGTGTGAGGCTCGGAATGGCTTCCCTAAACCCAACATCACCTGGTACAGGAACGGCATGCCACTGATGTCTTCCCCAGGACGTAAGTGCAAACGGGGTCATTGTCTTAGAGGGTCTGCAACAAATCTCACACTGGAACTGGGAAATCTAACAGTAGCAAGGAATTGCTGTGTCCCAGTGGCGCCACCTATGGGTTGGTGGTGCCCGGTTGTTAGAGGGTAACGCTGTTTGCTTTCCACATCACATTACGTCAATGTCAAGCAGCAACCTCCATGGCTGCAGTTCCTCTAACAGCCACTAGAGGCTGGCTCCAGCAGTGAGTCAATCTCCATAAGGGCCCATATTAAAATGCCCAAATAAACACGTTCACAGTCTGGTTCAAAAAACAGTTTGGTTCTCCATAGTTAATTTCCCTGTTTGTGACGACTGTACGGAGGGTGAATTTTTATACAACTCGCATGTTTAAGGCACATTAAAGCTTAAAGTTATGCATAATTAAATGGGTGTGGCTGCCTTTCAGTAACCAGGCTTCATTCAGTTCCATGTATTTGCCCATTTTTGGAGTCTGAACTGCCAAGATGGCTTCTTGTGACGTCACAGAGACTACCATTTTTAATTCTACAGTCGGTGGTCGATACTGTGTTTTCATGTCTTTTTCATTTCTCATTTCACAGTAGATCAATAATAAGTGCCTGACTTGAATGAATTTACATATAAGTGCTTTGCAAATAATTTTTTTTTTCTAGAAATAGATTATATTGAGAATATATTTATATACAGAGAGAGGGAAAGCATATTAGGAGTAAGTGCTCTTAGTGGTAAGTGGGGAGGGACTCGAGCACTTAGGGACCACACAGGAGACGACTAGCCAGGATTGTAAACATAACGTAACCTCCTGTTGTGTATTCGGGGTCCTGAAACCAGCTTTAATCTCGTATTGGCTGTGGTCCACTGTTACACGTCTGTATCGCCTGGTTTTGTACTCCAGATGTAAACGTGCTGACCCTGGTGACCCGGGACTTCAGGGACTTCTACTCCGTCCAGAGCACGCTGGAGTACAAGGTGGTGAAGGAGGACAAGGACGCCCATTTCTTCTGTGAGGTTAGCTTCTTTGTCCCGGCGGCCATCAGGACGGTCGAGTCCAACAGCATCAACGTCACCGTTCACTGTGAGTTGAGCCTCTTTTTATACTTCACGTAGGTTTGATGTTTGTAAAAAAAAAAGCAAATCTTGGAAGTGTAAAACAGAACATGGTACATACATGCATTGCATTGTGGGAATGCCCTGTGGGTTTTGTTCTGGAGTACGTTGAACTTCCAAGATCTCCAAGGTTGTATCTCCTCTGGGATAAAACTACCGAACCACAGTTGAGTACAGTTGAATTTAGAGTTTGAACAGCTGGATTAATAACGTTCGCTCGACTGATTCTAAGATGTTGGAACAAATGCTGCTTGTGAATGGATGATGGGAAACGAGAGAGTTAAGGACTAATGGGACAGCTTTAGTGGATATGTGTCCAGAGGGACCGAACTTGAAAAGAGTACGATGGTTTTGTAGCTCTGTAATTATGTTATTTATTTATTATTGTAACCAAAGATCTGCTTTCTTATGTTAATGTCTGTTGGTTTATTGTTTTTGTGTTCTATTTTTGTTTCTGTTTGTTGCTGGTTATAAAATGCAATAAAACTTCTAACAAAATTTTAAAAAAGAATTAATAAATTCATATATTTGCATTATATGAATCGGCATCAGCCATTGATAAACTCATATCATACAATATGAGTACATTACTGCAGCCTCAGCTGCTTTGATTCAGACCATTCTTCTCTAAACTGTCTCCATATTAAACTGCTGGAATAGCCCTTTAAACGTTATTGTACATAATGCTATATTATTTCAGATTCAGCAGACCCCCGATGTGTCTGTTGGTTTATTGTTGTAAGTCAGTGTTGCAGTGATACTGTGGCAGTCGGAGCCAAACGCAGTCTGTGCTGTCAGCGTTATGGAAATGGGCTTGTGAAGTGACTTTAGCTGAATAAGCCTGCTTAATTTGATTCTGTATGTGTGTGTGTGTGTCCAGACCCCACCACCATGGTGGAGCTGTGGAAGGAGTCGCCCCAGGGCTTGGTCAAAGAGGGGGACACTGTGGAGCTGCGTTGCCAGGGTGACGGCAACCCCCCATCGCCCTTCGTTTTCAACAGAGAACAAGTAAGAATGGACGGCATTTTCTCACCCTAAAAGTCCCCAAGAGAGAATGGGTGACACGCAGGAGACATGCAGGGAATGTTTTTGATATGCAGAGCTCACAGGGCCCCATGTAGACATGAGTGTGCAGGGTCTGTGAAGGCTCTGTGGGCTCTGACCCTGCAGATCCAGGCCGGGGTCTGAGACCGGAGGCCACACTGACAGGGCTCATTCCCATGTCAGACACTCATCCATTGTACGTGCGGACAATGTAAAGACTCAGCTGACTGCCGCTTTAACGCCTGCTAACTAGGCGATCAGGGACGTTTGGTCAGCGGTTGTTGTAGCTGTGACTTTACGATGTTTGTTTTGTTGTTTTTATTTTAATACTTTTGGCCATCCTCTTGTGATCTGATGAGAAAATGTACTTAATATTTTATAGTTTTTACAATAAACATTTGGAAGTATTACAACCACAGCAAAAAGTGAAATGGAAATGTTAGAAAATACTTTAAAAAAATACGACAAATAAAAAGTAATAATAGTAATAAAAAAAGCATTTACAAACTTACAC